TAATTAAAAATATTATTTTAAGACCGTGAAGTAAAGGAAGAAGACTATCCACAAATGAATATATACACAATAAGGTCGGCTGAGTTGTGCACATTCTTCAGTGCTACTTAGGCTGACCTAAAACACACTAAGCACATTAAACCACATAATTACTGGTCCCTTATTATCTAGTCATGGTCTGCTGCCTCAAGTCTGCGTAATGGCAGGCCTAGCCCTTAGATCATGATATTATTTGCAAATTCTACCATTATTTCCAGGAATTGACACGTATATATACTGACTTCTCTGACATCATTCCCAGAAAACCTTCTTCTAAAAGAAATGCTTTGAGAAATTATCTTTCTTTTGAATAGATGCAGATATTTAGAAGGCAGAACACTAAATTATTCATTCCAAACATAAAACAAATGACTCCCATCACTATTTATTAGTCATTTTGTCTGTTAAGAATAACAGTTCTGCTATGGAAGGGGGGGAGGGGAGGGAAACCAATTTGTCTAATTAAATAGGAAGTAATGTTCAAAATGCAAGGTCTAATAGCAAATTTTTAGCAAAGAAAAAGAGGATCAAAAGATTTTTGAGTCCAGTGGTAGCTGGTAGTTCCCAAACCATCAAGCAAATAATCTTCTCCAGATTTCAACCTGAAATGTAATGCTTCTATATATGGTACTGATTCCAAAGCATGTACCTTGGAGAGCTCCTTCAAAGTTTAAATTAATACCTAGAGCCGATTCGCAGCTCTATTTACATGGAAGAAACCAGCTCCTTGCATTCTGAATTGCAGTGGTCTCCATATGTCCTAATTCATAGACCAAAACTTCTTAAACTTTTTCAACTTGCAACCTCTTTCCACCTGAAAAAGTTTTACATGATTCAAGGAATATATGTATATGTATATAAATGAAACATTTACTGATAAAAACCACCAACATACATTTTGGTGATTCAAACATTAGCCCTGTTTCAAGAGATTTTTGATCTGCTGATTCCAAAAATGGCACCGGTTTTCCCCTATCAACTTTAGTTTTTGAGATACAGAACATATGCCTTTTACCAGTCTCCATCTGCTCACCCCTAGTAAATCATGAAAATAGAGCTGATGTGATCTGCCCAATGCAATTTTCTGAATCACTGCCTAAAACAGGACTAAAACACCAACCCCAAGAAAAAAAATGTTGCTGGTGGCCTGTGTAATAAATCAGCATTTCTAAGGCTTGCTAAACAGGTTGATTTTCCATTTTATGATTTTCCTTTTACAGCTGAAGCATTTCTTGTAGACTCCACTATAAACACTGCAAGTTGTTGCTAACAGATTCATGTAAACGTCTAGGTGACATTCAGAAACCCTTTACTGATGCCAATTTGGGACCCACAATTTAAGACACAGTGGTTTAAGCTAATAATTGGTATCTTCCATTGATCCTCTATTTGCATATCTGCATAAAACATCTTCAGTTTCAAATCAAGGCAGGTCTCTAGAAGTAGACACAGAGGCAAATTCTCTGAAAGAAGAAGGTAAGGCTCCTAATTGAGGAGATTAGGAGCAATACAAGGGGTCTTCCCCCACTGACTCATTTGTTCCTTCTTTCACTACAGCTCCTTCTTGCTTCCTGCCCATTGCTTCTTTGTTTGCAAGTTTACAACCTGCTCCTTTGGCTTGCCTGCCTGCCAGCTCAGCTATTGTGCGATTATTTGCTTATCTGCCAAGTTCATTTTCAGTCTTCTTTAGACCAGGAGCCTTGACACCCTGCTCCAAAGACAATGACAACATCAATAATATAATGAATGAGATTAACAGATTAACAAGAGTGCTGAGTAGAAAGCATTTCTCTAAATTGTCCCTTGTCTCTAAGCACTACTTATTTCTCCTTTAAAAAACTTATCAGGGTTTAAAGAGATTCTATTTGTAAGCTTCTGATTTTAATAATACCAGAAACTACCTTCTGAAAATATAATGATTCAAATGAATCAAAGCAGCAACTAAAAGCTTAAAATCTATTTTTATGGAATTATATGCTATTCTATAGAATTTCACAGATACAGGTATAAAAGATGCTGTAAATATAATTCAAATGGTTGAAAATGTGTCCCCATTTAGTCTGGAGAGTGGATAAAAAGATGCCTGGATGGATGGATGGATGGATGGACGGACGGACGGACGGACAGACAGACAGACAGACAGATAGATATAAATAGATAACTCCATATGTATAAACACACACACAACAATGTAATATGCTTAACATAGCACAGAGCGAAACTGTGAGAGCTGGCTTTAGACTCAGCACGCAATGTTATAGTTCCCACAACACGCGGGTGAAACTGCTAAGCTACAGAACTTGACCAGAAAGTTGGCAGTTCGAATCCGTGGGATGGGGTGAGCTCCTGTTGTTAGCCCCAGCTTCTGCCAACCTAGCAGTTCGAAAACATGCACATGTGAGTAGATCAATAGGTTTTGCTTCGGCAGAGAGGTAACGGCACTCCATGTTGTTCTGCTAGTCACATGACCAAAGAGGTGTCTATGGACAATTTCAGTTCCTCAACCTAGAAATGGAGATGTGCACCGCTCCCCCATGTGTAAAACTCAACTAGACTTTATTTATTTATTTATTTATTTGTTTGTTTATTTATTTTGGGCACTTCTACCCCGCCCTTCTCAACCCCCTAGGGGGGACTCAGGGTGGCTTACAACTGGCACAATTCGATGCCAACAATTCATCAGATAAAATACATGACAGCAATAACCACAATAATTAAAACATTCAATTAATACAATAACAACTAAAAAGCCAATGTAGTGGCCAACGTTCACCGAGTTCTAAAATCCGTAAGTCCATTCAGCATTACTTAATGTCATGGGGAAACCTTTACCCTCTCCCCACAACACTGGACGAAATGAACAAACAATCTTGGATAGTATAAGGCTGCCTCTAATATAAGAGCATTATCTGAATTTCCCCTTTATATTAGATAATTAATAAATATGATAGTGTGGAATGACAGTCTGCTCCCTTGCAAACTGATGAGCTGGAGAAAAGTTACTTTTGTAGGCCATATTTCTTAAGCCACCATGGCTGGTGTGATTTGGAGTTTTAGTTCAAAAATCATTTTCCTCAGCACTAGAATGGCTATTACATCAAGATACTAAATGTCTAGAGATGATTATTTTACAATATACTTTACCAAATATGAGTCCCGTTGTGTGGAAATTATCCACATCATTTAACTGGAGGATATAACAAAGAGGGAGGAAAAAAAAGAAGCTCTCCTATGATGAGAAAGATCATCCCAGGACAGTCATCCGTGTCACCTCTCTGTCTTCATTTGTCACACAGCTTGGATAATGCTTGTGCATTCACCTGATAAATAAGAGTCTGCAATTCAATTCTACCATTCTACATGCCTGCAGGAAAGACAGCAAGCCCAGTCATTTTGTAGTCCAATGCAAGTTTTATACTGGATAGTGTCTCTCATTTCTCTATCTTCCTGCCCAATAAAAAAAATGATTCTGGATATTTCTCCTACCATTGACCCATGAACAATAGTCATCATCATCCTCACCCTCTCCTCCTTTTCCTAACCTCTCTCTGATCAAAAAAGTTATTTCTAAGCCTCTTTCCTTCTGGAACATCAAAATACTGGTAAGAGAGCAAGAAATCAATTTGCTTTGACATTCTTCAGTGGAGCACAACATTGACATTATATCCCTTTGATATGACAGCAGCTTAATTTTGAAACAAATAGACATAATGAACAATCACCCTACTGCAGACAAGGTGAAATCTGAATCCCATTGGTATTCCTAAATAGAGTAGATTTATTAAATTAATGGGATATGTCACATGAACTCACCATTCAATAAATGATTCAATGAGTCTATCTTACTTTGGAAAACAAATGGGTTCATGTCTGAAGATCCACAGCGAATTACCAGAGGAGTGTTGGACCCTGATTCACAGGGTCAGAATGTCAGACTTTTTTCATTATTATCATCTGTCACACCTCTTAGATTTCCTTTTGTCCTCCTCTGCTGCTCCTCAAGAATGGTGAATGAGTAGATCTTTTTTCAGTTACTTAACACGGTTTTCTGCTACGTATTTAGTACTACACATAGTTTTAGTTGCTTCCTTTTAAATAACATATTAAAATGTTTAAGTTGACAAAAACCCTGTTTCTGGTACACATGAAAAAAAGTGCTGGCTCTGATTTGTTGATGCAGAACAGCACAGTAACTTAGATTTTTCAGTTTTCCTTGGAGTGTGATTAACATGATGAATACCATCCCCTTCAAAATTTACCACCACACTTACTCCAGGAAGACCAATCATTTGTCAAAAATAGGTTTCAGTAACCTACTTATTGCTCCCTACTGTTTTAAGCTTACATGCATAGCACTTTTATACTATGATACATCATTGTTCAGTATGCCTCCGTACTGTCTATTGTGTATGATATCTGTTATTCAAGGCCTGGGAGGTCTTTCCAAATCTTATTACTCTAGTTTACATTCATTCAGAGATGGCACAGATCAAAAATTACAGTTGATATTCAGCAGAGGAAAAATAATCTCCAATGGCATTTTTTCTAGTTTGTAAAAATGGTGGCAGGAAGAGCTTTCTGGAAAAAAATGGTTGTTTCTGGAAATATCTGAAGTCTAAGGCAGTGGTTCTCAACCTGTGGGTCCCCAGATGTTTGGCCTTCAACTCCCAGACATCCTAACAACTGGTAAACTGGCTGGGATTTCTGGGAGTTGTAAGCCAAAACACCTGGGGACCTACAGGTTGAGAACCACTGGTCTAAGGGAAAGAAGTAATTTATATAACTCCTTCCCAGAAACTCTGCTACTGAAAATGGAAGAAATGAAATATAATGCTCATTCCAAGATGCTTAAAAGTATGCAAGTTGTCTCAAGAAATTGAGCTGAACTTCCTACTAAATGACAAAGCAACATCCATTGTATCAACAACATATAAACACATTTTTTCATTCATTCTTCTTACCCATATCGGACATCTCTGGCACGGTAACTATGTAGGGCCCATCTGTAAATTTGGGGGCATTGTCGTTGATATCTTGCACTTTGATAATAAATTCCGATTCAGGCTCAAGAGGCTTGTTTGTCCGTCTATCAATAGCCTGGGCATGCAGTACATAGTGTGTCTTCTTTTCCCGGTCTAGGCTTTTGGTTGAATGGATGTCCCCCGTCGTGTCATCAATAATAAAGATAGTCCCAGCCCCTTCACCCGTAAGGATGTATTTGACTGATCCATCACCTTTGTCCGAATTGGAGTGTAGCTGTAAAACACAGATATATATATATATATTAAGTTACATAATATTTCACCATGGTATAAGCTTATCAATTGTGATGGAGAATATACATCTTTATGTTATCATCACTATATAATGGCACATACTGGCATCTTTTACCCAAATCCCTTGATAATGAAGGCTTAGCTAGTTTAGCTTTTATAATGGAATTATTATACTTAGCCTGGAAGGTGGAAAGGAATTTAAAATAAAAGTTCAAATGAATAAGGTTCATACAGCATGTTTAAAAGGAGAGATAGACAAGAAGTGGAAAAACAGGTTCCCACACCTGCCAGACGTGTCCATCCATGTTTTAAGCATTAAAGAGGGAGACATGGAAAGAAGAGATCACGGAGAAAGAAATTGTCCCAAAAATTCCCAGTTTTTATCATTCAAATGTTTTCTACTATTATCTATATAATGTTTCCATCTGTTATGAAACTGGAAGAATAATGGTCTAGCATGTCAGTTTCTGATGCCATTGGAAAAGCTGAGTATACAATTTTCTGTGGAAAGTACTTTCAGAATCTGACAAATCTAGAAAAGAGACATTTCGCTACATAATTTCATTCTAAATCCTCTTCAAACACTTTTTTCAAAATAAAATCTGATCTGCTTTTGAATCCATCTCAGAGAGCATTAGTGAAATTATTCAGACACGTCTCTTTTCCAATATTACTTTGCATCACAGTGTATTGATCCAAGGGAAACTACACAACAACATTCTGGTCATTATAGAACTTTAGCCATTGTGGCATAGACTTCTTTACTGAATGTGGAGGTCAGGAACATCAACCCCTTGAGGGGGTGAGAGGAGCATCATATTACCATGATTTTATGTCCCATTGCATTAGAAATAAAATCATATCATTTCTCAGATCCCATCACACATTGTTCTTTCTTGCCTTTTCTCCTGAAATCATCCATTTTCAGATTTATCACAGGAGCAAATGGAGTTCCCACCCACTCCAATTAAAAAAAAACTTCGAGAATAATCTTTAGGGTTTTTCTCCTCTATTCCCACTACTCCTGAGTTTACCCAATACACTGTTTTTAAGATAGACACCACTTTGGTGATACTAGACTTTCTTCTCCAATCCTGCTACTCCCAAGTTGACCCAAAGCACTGTTCTTATGATAGATACCATTTTAGCAATACTAGACTCTCCCCTCCATTTTCACTACTCCCAAGGAGAAAGAAGGCATTGTTCTGAAGACAGACACCATTTTGGGGATACTATACTTTCTCCTCCAATCTCGCTATTCCCAAGGAGACAGAGGGCATTGTTCTTAAGCCAGACCCCATTCTCTGGGCTCCTTTCCTTCCTCCCAATCTCATTATTCCCAACCACAGTAGTCTGAAAAGTGGTGATAACTTGAAATGTTGATATTTGTAATGATTAGTGTTTTAAAAAATTACTATGCCAGGCTCACAAAGCAGGACTTTGGGAGATAAATGTGAATGTTTGGCATGGGGTGGGAATGCTCATTACTTCACACCACTAAAGTGATTCCATACGGGAAAATTGGGCAGATCCCATCCCATTCCCCCCCCCCCCCCATTCAAACCATTTAAGCTCAAAATATTATTTTTTTTTGTCTTCCTCCTCCCCTCCCCATTTTTCACACTTTTTAAACACTTCACTAACAAAGCACAATGGATACATGGGGGAATTCTCCCCGCTTTATGTAATGAGCTCCATTGAACTTTGTTTCCTTACTCGTTTTGATGTGTTTAGAAATGAACGGTGGGGGTTAGTGTGTGTGTGTGGGGGGGGCTGTGTGGGATAATGTCCCAGGATAGGAGTGGGTGTGTCAAAGATCACTTCCTCAGATTTTCTTATTCCACTATTAGTTGTAAAGGGATAGGTGACACATCAAATGCTACTCCACTAGCTTAGGGAACATTTACACTGACACTCAATGTGGAAGGGTGCCAAATTAGCTCTATGGTGATTAAACACTGTATAGAGCTGATCTGGAGAAACACATTAAAACCAATTTGGACTACCTCCTGACAGTTTTAAGATGGAACAAGCCATAACTGTTTTCACTGTCATGTTATGTTTCCTAAGCTTGGGCAGTCCAGTGGCACGAAATGGAACTTATAATCCAATCCCTTTCTCTATGCTGTGCTGATCTCCAGCTGTGACATCCATAGGCTTATCCAGCATATGTCATGCCAGATCATCCCTGGAGTACAGGGTCAGTATAGATTGCCCTTAGACTCTCTTATCCTAGTGCTGACTCCTGCAATCAGATAAACTAGAACATTCCAGTAAGTTTGACACTATAGGAGGGTGCACACTTGTTGCTCTTTTAAAACACAACATTTCTGGGGGGGGGGGATTTTTTTAAAAAATGTAATGTTAGCATCCTTTACAGAATGAAAGAAAGTTTGAATGCACAAACATAGTATGACACATAGTTTGGAATGAAATTATCATCTCTTCTAAATTAAATTCATCATTCGTTCTGAGTATAATTGGAAACCAGGCTTCTTTTTTAAAAGATATAAATGGTACATCAAGATTCTGAATTATGAAGAAATCCAGAACTGGATCTTGTTGTTTTTACCAGTTTTAGAAGCAGGCAAAAAAGAAAGGAACAAAACAAAAACCAAAACTCTTTATTGAGAACAAGAGAAACAATAACATTGACAAAACAGAGAACATTATTTTCTCTCCATTTGTTCTCTATTGTGTCAAGCAGATATAATACACTCATTTACATACAAAGAACTGAGAAAAGGAAACCAAGATCAGAAATTGTAATATGATCAGATAATGTAAACAGTTTATATAAATGTCTTCCTCTGACATAATACTTAGAAATGTTTTGGAGAAGTTTGAACACTTTGTCTTAAAATATTTATTCCTTGTTATAAAAACAAACATTCTATGATCTATTTTTTCAAGAAAACAAAGTCTTAGAAGCATATTTTCTCAATTATTTTTACTGTTTTGCTTATGGCCTTCTCTAGTGATACATTCACATAGCAGAAGTAGTGTAGTTTGACACCACATTAATTGCCATGGATCAATGCTATGAAATCACAAGAGTTGTAGTTTTACAAGGGAAAACAAAGGAGTTACATGCTAGGGGGTGGTGACGGCCAACAGGGAGCTCTGGGGTGGGCTGGTCCATGAGGTCACGAAGAGTCAGAGACGACTGAACGAATGAACAACAACATATACTCATACATACCCCTAGAAGTTTTAGTCAAAGATTCAACCCTGGGTGAGTACTGTGCCTTGACTCTGATAAAAAAAATAACCATCTCTTTTTCTGAGTAGAGCATAAAAAGAGCTGAGCTGGAGAATAACTCAATTGTTCATCAGGCTGAACTGCTGATGGGCAACACCGCTGCTGTAAGTCTTCATTTAATGAGAAAGAAAAACTCCCCGGGGTGAGGGAGTGCGTGGCAATGCATTGCATGCCCCACAAAGGGTGGATTTTGCCACTCACGTGTTATAACAACAGGTAAACACTAAATAAGGATTACACACAGTGTTGCAGGCAGTGCCTAGGAAGAGATCTCATTGAACTTCCAACATATGGTGTAATTTCATACATTAAATGAACCAAAGGTCTCATTGAGCTTACAGGTTAAGAAAAGGCGTGTTGTGTCAAGAATCCCCCAAAAAAGTCATTCATAAAATCTATATAAATAAAAATGTAATGTTCGTTTGTGGGATCAACATAACTCAAAAACCATTGGACGAATTGACACCAAATTTGGACAGCATACACCTAACAACTCAAGGATCATCACTCAAAAAAAAATAATTTTGTCATTTGGGAGTTGTAGTTGTTGGGACTAATAGTTCACCTACAATCAAACAGCATTTTGAACTCAACCAATGATGAAATTGAACCAAACGTGGCACACAGAACTCCCATAACCAACACAAAACAGTAAAAGGGTTTGATGGACATTGACCTTGAGTTTGGGAGTTGTAGTTCACCTACACCCAGAGAGCACTATGGACTCAAACAATGATGGATCTGGATCAAACTTGGCACAAATATTCCATATGCCCAAATATGAATACAGATGGAGTTTGGGGAAAATAGACATTCACATTTGGGAGTTGTAGTTACTGGGATTTATAGTTCACCTATAATCAAAGAGCATTCTGAACTCAATGAACAACAGAATCGGGGCAAACTTCCCACACAAAACCCCCATGACCAACAGAAAGTACTTAAAGCCATCCAGTCCAACTCCCTTCACCAGGGCAAGAAAACATCATCAAAGCCCTCCTGACAAAGAGCCATCCAGCCATAGATATAGGTAGATATATATGATTCACACACACACAGATATAGTATCATAGATTTGAAAAGGACCCCTAAAGAAGGACAATGATATGTTACATATCCCAGAGTAGGCAAACCCGACACTCTCCGCATCAACACTGGCAAAAAACAGCAAGAAATACTGTTTACCCACAAGCATAAAGAAATTACATATATTAGTAACCAACACTTTCTCATTACTTTATTTTCCAGATCACCAGACTGCGCCACAGCAATGCATGACAGGGGACCACTTGTAAATATATAAAATAACAAAGTACATACTACCTTTTATTGTTTGCAAATATTCAGCCAGAACATTGTAGAAAAATCCCTGTAAAAATCTATTCAAAACAAATTCCCATGAGTTTACTTCTGAAACTTATCCCAGACACCTAGCTATAGGACTGCTATTGTACAGCTCAGTTTTGCCCATGTTTGCTCAATATCATATACCATAGAGTTTGATAAGCTTACTCCTATGTAAATGACTAGAGCACTGCATCCCTAATAGATTAAAGTATATGTTGAAATAACTCAAAGAAGTCTAAATAGAGAACTTACACTGGGTTAAACAAAAAAGTCAGGCAGAAAATACAATGGCTTACATTTGTAGAAACTTCTTGTCTTCAAATGTATTTTTAACTATTCACTTGTAAAGCAGCTGCTGAAATAAAGTGCCC